ATCCCGATCTACTTTGAATTCTAATTTTTTCTTTTCATTTTCCTTTCCAGTCTCTTCCAATTCTTTTACTTGCCTTTCTTTACGCTCCAACATTCGTTTTAATGAATCGATTTCTAATTTTAAGGTTTGGTGTGATGCATAATTTTCAGCAGCTTGTCTATCCGCCCGCTCACGGGCGACTTTTGCAATGTGTATCGAAGTTTTAGCATCGGCAACTTCTTTCTTTAAATGTTCAATTTCATGTTGAAGATGACCAATAACTTTTCCGGTAGTGGATTCGTTACTCATGGTTCCGTTATTATATTGTTGAGGTCTATTACGGTTAAGTTTTTTTTGTACTGTGGCAAGTAAAGCGTTTTTCTCTGCTAAATCGTGACGAAGTGTATGCACCTGATGCTTCAGCGCTGTAAACTTTGTCGTATCTATATAGAATATGATAGATGATATGAAGATAAGGAAGAATCAAATATAAAAGTCAAATTTGGTCGAGTCGGAGGAATAAAAAGAAAAAAAGGAAGAAGAATAATAATTTAGTATACAAGTTGTTTTAAGGAAATGACAAAGCTGAAACAACAAGTGCTGAATGGACAAAAACAAGGGGCGCAAGTCTCCCAATAAAAGAGTGACAAAAAGAAAAGGAACTTTACCCATCTCACCGGTCATTGAGGAAATTGCAAAGGAATTTACAGTGTTAATAAGATATGAACTGAGTTTTGTTTAAAAGCTAAGAAAGAAAGAAAGAATATTGTAGATAACAAAGCATACGCGTTTTCTTGAACTCTTTTACTAAAATTTATCAGAATTTCAGAAAAACGAGAATTATTCAAAGAATGTGTTTTTATAGGTTGATAAGGAGGGTAAAAAAATCAGAAAAGGCAAAAAATGAGTGGTAGCCTCCAAGGCCGTCTTTTATTAATTTAATATTTACGTATTTTAAGTCTATCTTAATGGAGACACGACAGGAGTAATAACCCAATTCAGGGAGTAGAGAACCAACTAAAGTAATTTGTTATTACTTGTATTAACTTCCCAACAAAAAATTACCCTCATCCCCTTCCTCATCGCAGTATGTACATTCAACTGTGACATTAAACATTTTTAGCCCCTGAAATTCGCTTTTCAAAGATCTCCAACACGTGCCATGTTTTTCGTTTGAAAAATAAAGTCCAGTGTAACCATCCTGTACATATAAAGTTACCATTTTTTTTTCCAAAACATTACTCTCTTAATTTCCCAATTATTCATGGCTACCTTTGCTACTGACAAGGAAATAAATGCAAGCTTTCAAAGAGATGTGCACCTTGGTGTAAGCAGTTTTTCTGCTGTTGCTGGTCTGGAAGACCGAGATGTTGTACCCGCTACTGCAACGACTGAAATTTTTGGTCGTTTTCAAGCATTAAAGGTTGTTATTTACTCAAATGTTTTTAAAATGCTTTTTTTTTTTTTTGGTGTCGCGTATTTGTAACCTAAACTTTTTTTTTCTTTATATAGACTTTATTACATCCGAACATTTGCGAATATGTAGAAATTGTTAAAGGCAAGTAAAAGAATTGGAAGAGACTGGAAAGGAAAATGAAAAGAAAAAATTAGAATTCAAAGTAGATCGGGAT